AAATATATTAGTAGCCTATTCATTTGTAGTCTATAATGTATTTTTCTACAGTGCTGGTATATTTTCTAACTCTTGATAAATGTTTAACTGCAGAACAAATATGACAAAATTCATTAGGCTATTTTTTTTTTAAGTTTCAGACAATTTAGCCTTATATTTATTTTATAGCCTATGTTATACGATTCTTGTGAGGAGGTTTTAGCTTAGGGGTGCGCGGGGTTACTTGTAACACACGTGGTTTAAACATTTCCATGCTAACATAAAATTTAGGTATTTACTAGTTGTCATATTAACACTATATAGAGAAAAAAGTGCGAAAACAGCAAAATAAAAAAAAAATCTTTTGAAGATATCGCTGAAAATTGATTTATAGCAAGAAGTACATTTTTCATCTCAGTTTTTAGTATTCCTTTTAAATGAGACAAATCTGCTATTATTTTCATCTCCAATCTGTTATTTATCAGTTTTTTAATGCTTCAGGGAACACTGTAACACTGCCATACAATGTGCATACTAGGGCTGTGTATATCACCAGCAAAGTCACGATACGATACATATCACGATACACAGGCCACGATACGATGCATATCACGATACAGGACTGCACTGAATTTCACCTCAGCAGAATTTAGTAAAACTAAAACTAAAAAAGGGCCATTTCTAACTCTCGGCAGAGCAGGCAGTTGACCTCTGCATTATGAAGGGCTTCCATAACTGTACCACAGTACAATATAGGTAATGGCATATGTTTCATGTTTACATTGGGCACTCCCCACCAGGTACAATATTCTGATTGTTTGCATCTTGTTTCTAAGCCCATAAATAATAATGTACTCGTTCTAATAAAGTTATATTGTAATGTACTCGTTCTAATAGCCTATATTAAAAAATCATATTTACATTGCTGGTAGGTTATCATTCCACAAATTAACACACTCTGCGATTAAAAAATAAAAATAAAAATGAGAAGAGTTCTAAACTAATGCGCTGTGTCTTCTGTATCTAATGCACACACACGCTCAGTCACACTCACAGATCACGTTGCGGCCGCACTCAGACATTCAGGAACAAACTTGTTAGCGCTGCCCCGCAATTTTATCAACTAAATAGCTTAATCGCTCAAGAGCTACATTA